ACGCCCTTTTAGGTCTTCTATTTTTTATTTGTTCCAAACCCCTGTAAAACTGTTGTCGACTACCTTCGACTCCCGAATGGTGTGCCTTAACTCAGCTCCATCTAGCTAGCTTCGAATCACCAGCTAGTAAATTTAACATTAGGTATGCCATACAGTGAAGCAACCTAGTTTCGACATGATTACTCAGTTGTTCTGATGCTGACTACATTTTCACAATACATAAATCAGATTTTAAACAGAAGGCGAATAATTTAAGAGGTAAACTTGCATTGATTTTGGTGACCAGCAGAGGAATTCAGAGTGCTAGCTTTGTCCTGTTTGGGACCTGTCAGCTGGATGTACTTGCACCCAGTGAATGATATTGTTCCCATTGAGCGGTATCGTGCCACACTAGCTTAGTGGGTAACGCTCTGGCGTTTGAAGCGAAGGGCTCGAGCCTCAGTGGGAACAACATCACTCACTGGGGGTGCGGGTGCATCCAGCTTACGAGTCCTAAGTAGGACGGGACGCGCGTCCTGGATTCCACTACTAGTCACCAAGATCAGTATAATATTATGAATGTCCGGCAGTATTGAGGCATCCACATATGAGGCCCATCTGCCAACAGAGGTCAAGCAATTCAACCCTGTATAGCAACAGGAAATTACAAGTATCACTACAACAGGTAGACACAATTTCTAGTTAGTAGTAAGTCAGGCAATATCGTATAGATTCTCATTGTTGTAAAACAAGTCTTTATTCATTTGCCTTTATTCTGAATATTCTCTCCTTTTATAGATGCATTCACCATCTTTTGCCGATAAGAAATGGTTATTTATTGTAACAGGGGACCATGGAATGAGCGATCAAGGAAGTCATGGTGGCTCAACAATAGGCGAAAAAACCACTGGTCTTTTTATGCTTGGATCTAACTGGAACAATACTGACCAACCTTCAACTAAGGTATTCTAAAAAAATTAATTTACTATAAAATATGTTTATTGTGTTTTATTTTACGGTACTCAAAACATAAAGTAATCAAAGAGATCTGCAAAAATTGATTTTTAGCTACATACAGTGCTCAAACTATCAGTTAGTGACTTCACATATTTCTAATATCTTTTGGTTTAGCGATAGTAAGTTTTCTTCCAACCTGTATATTCACTTCAGTCGGCATTTCAGGTTTAAGTTGGTTACGCCTAGGTATACCAAATACGTGTTTATCACAACTTATGTGATATAATTTCTCTTTTTATTCATATAACTAATAATCTTTACGTAAATAATTATGACTAGTTACAGTATTGTTCTTTGATTGATTCTATGCGATGCAAATATGCTTCAAAGACACGTGTGATCTTCTGGAAGTTTTCCTCCAGATGGTATATTTTCGCACGTATGCAACAGAACTGATCGTCATACTATACTGTATACTCATCCCTCAGTCGAACATTGCATATTTTTGACTTCATATATAGCGTAGGTGACCAAATGTTAATTAAAGTTTTTGTATACATGCTTACATTGATGATGATGTAAAGCAGATAGACAAAATCAACATGGAACGTTGCAAAGAAGTGCCCAGCAGTATCCGAAGAGCAAGTGAGTAGAAAAAGAATGATATCGAAGTGAATGAAGATGTATCGAAGAAAAAAGAATTTAAAAATCAGTGCTATTGTGACCGATTTTCAGTCATATCATTAAGAGTCCTCAACTATTGGTTCCTGTTGTCTCAGGAACCCCATCCACATGGCTCAAACTGACAATCAGGAACTTCGTTGACTGGTACCAAGTATTGATCTGATCACCCTAAGTCTTCTTCCAACCTAATCCCACTTCGCTTAGGATTGCGCTTTAATGTAGGCGAAGTCTCGGCATACACAGTATTTGTGCAAGTCACCTCAGTCGATGAAGGCCTACAGCGTCGTCGACTTACTTGCCTTCCTTGATCAGTAACCTTCACCTAACCTCGACATTGTTCACACGGTGGTTTCACCGTACATGAACACTGCTGCGAAGACACCTATGTTCGAAAGCCTTTAGTCTCTTCATATTATTATTATTATTATCTACCTATAACGCCCATTTCTTACAACTGTGTAGCAAGACAGGACGGACTACACCACAGTTTACTCGTCCTTTAATCGGTAGTCGGATATTTTGCTTGTGCCAGAAATGATACAAGTTGGCAAATGCCAAATAGGCCTTCGGAATCCGAACCGAAGTTTTGTTACTAACCAACTCGTTTGCGCTGCTGCGACTACCCAAGTAGATAAAGTGGTTGACGCATTCCATCTCTCCACTTCCTGTCCTTAAACAAGGAGTTGGTGAGGAATGGTCCTGAAGCACCATCTTGAATTTGACAGGAGTAAAAAGCATGTCAATCAAACTTACTCAAATTTCTGTTCAAGGCGATCAAAAGACCTTGTGTTTTTGCCATGACCGGTTGTACGATCTAACACTCTACGAGCGATACCAGCTTACTATACTACGAACAATACGAACTTAACGCGCAGCAAATCGACTCTAACGTAAATCAGGACATCAACCACCACCACCACAAAAATACCACCAACGCGCGAAGACACGAAGACAAGATGGAACGTTGACAGAGCTTTTACTGTCTCAACAACAACAGTCAATAAAGGTGTAAAACTTGGGTGCTGTGGTAGAATTTAATTCCATATTAGATCTGTTCATTTGATTTATAACACACAGTTATTTATTATGATTTATTTAAGAAGTAGTATTCATCATGGACTGACATCAGTTGGGGAAACATTGGAAATCTGGGAGCACTGGACGGCTGTTTCGTCCTAGTATGGGACTCCTCAGCAGTACGCACCCACGACCCGGCCAGGGATCGAACTCAGGACCTTTAGGTTTCACGGCGAACGCGTTGACCATTCAGCAACTGGGTCGGTTTCCAGTGGTTCGCAATTTCCAACTGCTGTCAGTTCACGATATAGCGCGACTATCACCCAAGGTCTTCAGTTAGCATCCACTTCACTTCCGACTGGTTGACCCCGCAGGTGACGACTTCTCATTAGAGCTTCCTGATATCTATCTAGAAGCAAGTCACTAATGAGCACTATACAGTAATGTGTTTTTGAGATGGATGGGGATTTTTTAATTTAGAAGCAGTATTCATCACGGACTGACTGCTGAGGAGTCCCATACTAGGACGAAACAGCTGTCCAGTGCTCCCAGATTTTCAATGGTTCCCAACTGATGTCAGTCCATGATGAATACTACTTCTAAATTATAAAATCCCCATTCATCTCAAAAATATATTATTTATTTGTCCTAGTTCCTAGTGGAATATAGGGCTTCAGTAGCACGTCTCCATTTCACTCTGTCCTCTCCAGTCTTTTGAACCTGGCTCCATGACTGCCCAGAAGTTTTCATTTCTTCCTCACACGATCTCCCCCATGTCACCCTCGCCTCGGATGCCCAGCTCGTCGTTTCCCCTTTGGGTTCCACTCGGGGACCTGGCCTGGCTCATGATGTCCCTGATTGGTCTTCTCAGTGTATGTCCAATCCAATCCATCTCTACTTTCTTCTGCATATTTGTTGAGTGATAGGCTCTTGGTTGGTTCGTTGCCTGGCCAGAGTTCCTTGTTGCTTATTCTTTCCAGCCATCTGATCTTCAGTATCGAGTGGGCGTAGGCGCTAGTTGTTGATGAATGTTTGTATTTTGTTGGAAATGCCTTTCCGTAACGCACCAAGTCTCTGAACCATATAGAAGGACTGAGATGACATTAGTGTTGAAGATCCAGATCTGGTTCACGCTTTACGCTGAGTGCAGAATATCTCCACGTTGGTTTCAGATTAATGAACGCCTGTCTTTCTGTCTTCCCGATCCTGGCTTTGACATCCTCATCTGTGCCGCCTGTAGTTGAAACGATGCTGCCTTGCCTAGGTGGTAGGTGAGCGAGACTACTTCCTTTAGGTTTCTCCCATTAATGGTGATTCGTGCTTGTTGGTGACGCTGTTGTTGGTTGGGTATCATCATCACCTCCCTCTTCTCTACGTTCACTTGAAGTCCCATCTTCACTGCCTGTTCTGTCAACTTGTTGGTTTTCACCTGTAGATCTTCAAGTTTGTGTGACATTAGACATAAGTCATCGGCGAAATCCAAATCTTCTGGGTTCTTTTCATCGGTCTAGCCAGCGTATGCCCATCTTCTCGCTCCTCACTGTTTGCTTCATGATCCAGTCGACCACAATCATTAAGATCATCGGTGATAGTATGTAGCCTTGTCTTACTCATACAACACGCAGTGATATAATTTATTTACTTGATGATGTTTCGAGCATAAATTACTGCTCAAGTTGATTCAAGATGTAAAAGATTTAATAAAAGGTTGGTATTCGTCATGTACTGACGTCAGTTAGAGGAATGTCTGAAACCTAAGAGCATTGGACAGCTGTTTCATCATCTCAGTAGTCCACACCCATGACCTTGCCTCCCAGGGATCGAACCCAAGACCTTCAGGTTCCGTCGTCAGTACGTTATCATTGGGCCACTGGGCCGGAATCCAGTGGTCTATATTTCCAACTCCTGTCCGATCACGACATAGCGCAACAATCACCCAATATCATCGTTAAGCATTTGTCCTCATATCCACCAGGTTTGCCTTACTGTTCACGACTTCTCATTGGAACTTCAGGAGTCACCTCTCGAAGCTAGTCACCAATGAGCACTAGATTAATTCAATTTGAGGGTTTGTGGGGATTTAGAGATTTTTTCAAGTTGGTATTCATCATAGACTGACATCAATTAGAGGGATGTTGGAAATCTAGGAGTACTGGACAGCTGTTTTGTCTTAGTATGAGACTCCTCAGCAGTGTGCGCCCATAACCTCGCTAGGTACAGAAGTTGAGAGTTTTGACCATTGGATTCCGACCCAATGATGACTTGCTGGCGACCGGACCTGAAGGTCTTGAGTTCGATCCCTTGAAGGTGGTGTCATTGTTGCGCACTGCTGGGGAGTTTCATCCTAGGACGAAGCAGCTATCCAGTGCTCCCAGGTTTCCTATGTTCCTTCTACTAATGTCAGTCCATCAATAAATCCCCAAAAATCCCTAAGCTGAATAACAATAAGGAACTAATTAGAATACATGACCTAAATTGCCGAATTGTTTATTGTTAAAAGTTAGACAGGAAGTGAATGCATCTGTAGCAATTGAGATGACGTTGAAGCATGATACTTACGACTTTTATGTCATGTTATCTACTGTGCAATAAAGCACATCCAGAATGTATGGAATTCTTGTGCATACCTGGACCAACAGTTGCCAGAATAAGTTGGCAACTCTTCAAAAGTCGGAATTTAAATAACAAAAATGCTAAGCTGCTTACTACAGCCTACAAATATAACCGTGTATAAAGAGAACAATCGCTTCAATCTGGGCTTCAAAGAGATATGGGGAGATAGACATTCAATTATTCTATTGTTAATATATATCCATAATGTTAAACTGCAGTCACCTGGATCCTGAAAAAAAAAATGAAAACTACCTTGTTTTTTTTATTTTTACGCCATGATGTACTCACAGATGTATTAAGTTAATTTCCACTTTATAATTTCAATCAGTCGACAGGTAGAGGCTTGGAGATTCACAGAGAATAATGTAAAGTCTCTTGAATTTCCGTAAGTAACCATAAAATTGTGAGCAGACAGCAAACAAAACAGGATAAAGTAATAAAATTTGTAGCCAACCATAAAAACAAGAGAATGTTAAGCCTAGCACATTAGTGTTATCGTCCAACATGCGACATTTAACATTATCAGAAAAAAAAGAGGGAGTAAACAGAAATAGAATAATGTTAAAAAGTAAACAAAAAGGAAATGACGAACAAGTCAATCCTGTTAAAATATTTAGTTTTAAAGTCAGTGAAGAATAAATATATCTGTGATACAGCGACGGATTTTGAGATGCCAATCCTTGATTCTTAGT